CTATAGCTCATTATGGTGGGTTGCCAAACTTATTTCGTCTTAGTATTCCAGTATCTTTTTAGCTTCAAAGAATATTTTCACCTTAAAAATCTTCTGTGGAAGTTAAAATCATTATCTTGGATCCAAGTTTTTTTGAAGGTATCAAGAAAATAAAAGGCACACATATGCACCAGAGCATCATTATAATGATAATATTTTTGATATTTGGAGAAAAGAAAGCTTTGAAGCTATTGAAGATAACACTTTCACAACCACTTCTCAGAAGTTAACCTAACCTAGAGCTACAAATATTTTTAGGTGGCCTTGTGGTGCGGATATAAGGACACAGTTGAGGGAAAGGACTTCATTCATTAAGATCTTGTTGACCGACTGACTTGATGCCGTTGCTGAAGACAGCAATTTGTCGATTGCTAGACGCTCTCGAGCATTGGCTAGTGTGGTAAATAAATGAAACTGTCGACTTTAGTGCGAAGAAATCCACAAATTGTTCAGAAACAACCATCACATTCATCTAAATTGAGAGTTTAGTGTGGTTTTTGGGCTGGTAGAATTAACGGTTTGTACTTCTTTCGAAATAGAGCTGGTGACCCTGCCAATTGAGAGCGGTAAAGACCGATGTTAACCAACTTTTTATGGCCTTAATTGGAAGAAGTTGATCTTGACAACGTGGATCCAGACGGGCTACGTGCCACACAGCACGTACAACCACCGAATTATTGTGAGAAAATTTTGGAGATTCGATTATTTACAGAAATTGTGAGATGTGAATGGCCTCCAAGAAGTTGTGACTTAACAGTATTAGACTACTTCTAATRTGATTATTTGAAGTCATTGGCCTTTAGTAATGAACATTACTCTCTTCAAGCTTTAGAACTCAATATTGAACYTGCTATTCACGACATACGACTTGATTTTGTGRAATAAGTACTCGAAAATTGGATTCATCGAATTCATTCCTGCAAAAGAAGTCATGGACTGCTAAACTTTATTTTTATACTCTCTCGATATGTTGCACAGGGTATAACGCGACGGTTGTTTGTAAAACAAAAAAATAAGTGAGACAGATATACCGAAATGATCAGCATGACCAGAAAAGTTCAGAATGCCTGCCTGTCCCTGTAAGCGCCTGAACGGCTGTTCGAACAATACATCACATGAGAAAAGATAAGATATTGTGAAGAAATTTGGTGTACGTATTCTTTGGCACTCTGAGAAGGTTGTTATTGTAGGTGGAAAAATCGGACCATTTCGTCATCCCCAAAACGTTTGTAATCGAAAACACATAAACTGAAATTGCTAAGCTCTACGTAAACATCTAAGTGGTACGTAAACATCTAAGTGGTCGTAGTCCCGCCCCCTTAATAAGTTTGATGTCCATAATTCACAAACCATTACAGATGTATTAACCAAAATTTCTTAGAACGAATCATTTTAATCAAAAAATAATTAAAGCTTTGTAGGAGCCGGTGGAAAAAATACACAATGGTTGTGGTGGGCGATTTTTATTTCAAATTTCATATCTCAAGGCCTACTATCCCCCTATATTATATATGGGTTTTAAAACTTTCGGTTTACTTTATTTATTACATATCGTTGAATTTGTGAGGTTTCTTAATGAACTAATATAACATTATTTTCTTTTACTCTTTTATTATTTATATTTATTACGTCGATACTATCCCAATACAGGATATATGGTATAATAAGTTCGCCACGAAGTTTGTAACACCCAGAAAGACACATTGGAGAACCTACAAAATATGGATATACGTTTTTTCTTCTTTAATATACATTTTGCAAATACCTGAAAATGTGATTCCGGGCTTAATCTTTGAAAATTGTGGGAGTATAAAAGGAGCTTTCCAAAGAGAACAGGACTTTTTGAATCTAGCGTCCTCTCGGGGCGCCTTCCATATKTCGACTGATGTGTTAGAATTTGCTATTTTTATCGATTGCCCAGTGAGAATTTCATGATATTTCATTGATTGGTGCGAAAATGAGCTTCGAGCAAAGAGCCAACATTAAATTTTGTTTTAAAATTGGTAAAACTTTTGCCGAAACGTTTCAATTTATGAAAGAAGTTTATGGTGATAATTGCCTATCAAGTAGCAGAGTGCACGAGTGATTTCAACGTTTTCAAAGTGGTTGTGGGGACATAAATGACGATTAACATGCGGGCCAATCAAAAKCCGTAATCACCGGAAATTTCATTTACCAATAACCACTCACTGCATTCACCTGCTATTTCACCGTGCGACTTCTCCTTTTCGGAAAAATGCATTTGCCCATGAAAGGAAAGCGTTATGCAGACGTAGAGGCCATTCAAAAGACTTTCACCGGCATACTGGCGGTCATACCGGCCAACAAGCTACGCTCATAACTTTCATACGACTGAACCAAATTTGATAATTTTCTTTTTAATGTGGCCGTTGAGGCTCAAAGATGGTTTTTACGGTAAGAAAATATTGAATAATTTCAGGTCAGTCCTTTTCTTTTTCCCATACAAGCGAACGAATGTTTGTTTGTTAGTAAGGCTTCAAAGGTTTTTCGTTGTGGATCGGGGAAGGCTTAAAAATAAAAATACCTTATACTTTTTATGAGTAAAGTCGGAAAATTGGATAGTTCCAAAAAGTAACTCTTTTCCATACACATTTTTTTTTTAATTTTTTGAATTTTTTGAATCGTTCAATTACGGTCGCTTGCTTTTTTATTCCGGCTATTCAAAAGAAAATTATTGAAAATTATTCACTGAAATGTTTATATATGTGTGTTTTACGCAAAGTGATCAATTGCAGATTGAAATTTGTTACGAACGAATAAGTCGCCCTAATATCGATCGGCGTTTTTTTTTTGCGAGCAACGTATGGCAGCCCAAGGCAAGGCAAAGCAAGAAGCACTCCAAGGATGCGATGACATACGTGCGGAATTGTGGATCGCGGTCAATCAACAAGCGATCGTCACGATATCACAGCACAACCTTTCAAAGTTACGTTGTTTGATGGTGCTGTTGGATGCTAGGTGTATTCTGTTGAGTGGCAAAAGAGAGGTTTGCCGCACGTACACATTCTTCTTTGGACGGTGGTTACACCAGACCAAATTGATGAAATCATTTCTGCGAAAGATCCAGTATTATTCGAAGTGGTGAAAACCAATAAGATTCATGGATCTTTCAAACATTACAATCACTTTTCGGTTCGTATGGCTGACAATAAATGCACAAAACACTATCCACATGCTTTTCTTTCGGAAACACAATATAGAAATGATGGATATCTACTCTATCGGCGTCGCCCACCAGATAACAATGGCAGACCATTCAGCATTTAATTTAGAAGAGTGAATATAGAAGTTGGCAACTCATGGATCGTACTATATTCACCATTACTGTCTAATTCATTTTCAAAACTCATATCAATATCAATATATTATTGCAGTTTGGTGAAATCGATAAAGTACGTTTGTAAGTATGTCACCAAAGGAAGTAACATGGCGGTTATTAGTCGATACGGTCGATACGTGAACTGCAATAAAGCGCTTTGTAGGATATGTACTTTTGCAATTCATGAACGTTTTCCGAACGTTTTGGTCTCGCACTTAATTTGGAGAATGGCCATTCTCCTCATTTCAACTCATAGAATACAGTACAGCCAATGAAAACACCGCCAAAAACAAAATCAACATTTACGAGTTTTTTCTCAACTTTCGCTAAAAATTGGAAATGGGTGAATTTCGGTTGATACTTTCGGTGGTTTGATATCAATTCCATTCGCCGCTTATCAATTCACGAAAGATGAACTCATCTCGATTATTTATCCGAACATCGTCCAAATTATTGTAACTACGATTCCAAAAATAGCGATGTTGTTGACTTAAACTGGATGATTCAAAGTCAAATTCCGCGAGAATTGCGCTCATACAAATCGATCGCTCGTCTTGACAATAAAGACGACGCCGTGAATTATAGAGTGGAATTTCTTAATTCTTTGTAGAGGCTTGGTATGCCACCGCATCATTTGCGTCTCAAAGTTGGATCTGTCATTATTATGTTTCGCAATCTTCATGAACCGAAACTGTGTAATGGAATCCGACTGATTGTGACGCACCTATCGAATACAAGTGGACAGAATGCTTGATTCTACAAATTTCTTTGAGTTCCAATGATTTGCCATTTCAGTTCAAACGTATTCCGCTTCCAGTGAAAATTGCATTTGAGGTCACGATCAAACAGGATACAACTTGGTTTGCCAAGTTTGGAAGTGCTATGTATGTTTTTCACACGGTCAGATGAACGTGGCGTGTTCACGAGTTTGAAAACCATCTTTTCTGTACACCGAAACAGAAACCAAAAAATGTGGTTTATCAAGCAACGTTACATTAAAAAAAAAAATGGAATGATATATTCAACTTTCTTTTAATTTCAAAACACATAATTTCATGCAGGACATCGGCTGCGGGGTCAGCTAGTTTTGAATAAAATAAATTGCTTTTGCCGAAAAAACTATTTGTTCTGCTTTCTTTTTAAAGTAGTGTTTACTTTGGAATTCCCCTTGTAAAATGTTCGGTTAATTATGAAGTTACTCCGTTCCTACTTGTTCAGTTAATATTTGTTTGGAAATCGGAGTTAATGGTATTTATTTCAAGCGTTCATCTTGTCCCCGTCTTTTCGTACCTTCGAATGCCTACGCAACCTAACTAAAAATCTCACAGCGCAAGCCGATTAAATGAGTTTTAATAAAATCTAAGTTTTCACAATGAACAAACGCATACGTTATAAGTTAATTAAGACGCCTACACAATACTTTTCAATTAATGGACTGAAAGCTACACAGCATTACATAAGTAAACTTTTAAACCTGCGCTCAAAATGCTTCGAACCAGTGAAGGCAACACAGGAAATTTTAATGCATGTTTTCGCGAAATTCACTTCACAAATTATTTCACTTATTTAAATTATAAATTTATATACATGACATTAAAGTAGATGTTGTTTTTGTACTCACTTTCAGTACTCCATGCGGCCTCGCAGTTCTGCCATGGCAACTCACGCCGAAATGAGGCGCACATATAGAATATTGTCCAGGCAATAATCAAATTATAGTAGAGCATTACAATGGCCGAAACGATAACCATGCCAGCGCCGAGACCACGAAACAGCGGACAGAAGCGACGATAAATGGCCACAGGCCCCAATGCGGCATACTGGCCGAATGAGAGCTCCATGAACATGAGCGGCAGACCGGCGATAATTAACATTATTGTGAAGGGTATGAGGAAGGCGCCTACGGTAGGAACAAAAGCGAAATATTAGAGACAAGAATGAGATATTGTGTGAGAATTTGAGTGACACTCTTAATGGATGTTAATGCAATTTGGTGAAATTCTTAATTGATTTCCCCGTTTCAAACATCAAATATTGAACTTACCGCCACCATTATTGTAGCAGAGATACGGGAAGCGCCACACATTGCCCAGCCCCACCGAGTACCCGAGCAGTGAGAGTAGAAAATCGAAACGGCCCGTCCAATTGCCACGTTCCGGTTCATTAGGATCGCCGGTGTCGAGTGCAATTAGCGCTGCGCCCGAATCACCACCGCCGATGGCGACTTTCGTAGCTGGTGTGGTTGGTGTGTTCGGTGGATAGGTGATCACATCGATAGGTTCGCAGGCAGTTGGGCCGCCTGGTCCATCACCGCCACCATCACCACCAATTCGAATGCTGATGGCTTTGCCGTGTTGTGTGCTGCTGGTGCCGCTACTGCCAACGGTTCTGAWGCTTGTGGCAGCAGCGGTTGTGACGTTGCTGTTATCGTTCGGCACTTTAGCGCTGGCAGGCAGTTCAACGGTTGTGAAGCGATCTTCATTTTGCTACAAAAAAAATCAGATATGGGTTCACAGTTAGCAACAAGATATAAGAGGTGTATGAAAGTGAATTTAAGTTAATTCAAAACATTGACTATATTTTGTAAATGAGGATAATTAATATAGGAATTGAGAAATTTTTTCGACTCGAGCTGAAATTACAAAATTAAAACATATAACTAGAAAGCAATCAGCAGATAACTACAGAGCGAGCTCTGCGGCTGTGCGGTTTCATAATTTCCTTTTATGGAAATGTCTATGACTGCGGTATTAAATACATTATTAAGTCAAGTGTTTCCTTAGCTTTTTTTGGTGCTTTTCAAGTGTTTATGCTTAGAATATATCGCTCTTCTAGAAGGGATATCGCAAACATTTAATGCGAGAAAATACTGGCCAAGCAGAGAATACAATGTTGGTTATGAAAAAAAAAATCGGAAAAAAATAAACACAAGACAACAGGTGAGGAAGCAGATACTTTAACTCTGGCAAGATCTTTGGACAAGGGAGTGCAAAGAAAGGTGGACCGTCAAAAGATAAAGAGAGGTGGCTTAGTAGATAGATAGATAGTAAAATTGAGGCTTTGAACTGCGACTTTCGGTCTATTGTGCCCTCCTCTATATCACATATTTTCACAAAAGAACTGAACAATTACAGGGGCCTGCTGGGCGCGTCATCCCTGTTCACGTTGATGGAACCTATCTTGCTTCTGCATGGAAATCCATGGTACAGAACCGCAAGTTGCACAGAAAACTTTTCCCATTTTGGACAAGTGCTTCCAAAGCCGGCAGTGCCCCGTATATAGTAATTTGTTTCGGCGAAGGTTGATCATTTCCTTCAACATTGCAAGGTTGTACCCTTTGAGAAGTATCATTACATGGCGCATTTCTGCTGCCTGGCCCCATCATCCTGGACGTTGCCGCAGAGTGGGCTATCTCGTCGATCAGCTCATTGCCGGCTACCCCTTTATGCTGGCACGCAGATTAGGTATACCGGGTTGCACATAAATAGGCGGTTCAGCCTTCCTATACACTCCTCCACTGATCTCTGCATACTCATTAATAAAAAGGTTTCTGCTTGAAATATAGCTCAGTAGAAAACACATTGAGGTGAACTACTACTCAAAACAGGTGCTATACGGTCATGGCTATTTCCCAAAATCGTTGGCATTTTTGGAAACTGACCTGCAATGTGTCCATATTGGAAACTTTTTCCTGAAGTAATGCGAATGTGAAACCATTTTCAGTACAAAAAAACCCTAGCTGATGTCACAAAAAGAAACTTTGAAATTCAGGGCAGAGGCGCAAGAAATGGAAAATAAATTAAGGAAATTGGTGAAATTATCTTTTAACATGCGGAATCCGGAAACCTTTAAAAAAAACTCTAAACCATATTTTAAATATTATTTTCCTTCTTTTGGGGATATATTTTCTTCCATCTCAAAAAACAATACGAATACGAAGCAGTGCCAAACCCAATTTTACCCGATTTCCACTTTGATCCAAGAATGTGAGACCAAGGTTAGATGAGAAACGTAGAAATTAATCTTCATGAAGATTTTCTGTATTGCAATCCTTTTTGAGCGATTTCAAGGTTTCGTGCCAGAATTATAGTTTTAACTTTTTAGAAGAAAGTTATTACTATAATAAAAGTTAAATCTGTATACAGTGAAAACTACCTTTAACTGCTTCCTCTTCTGTTTGCACTGAATTCAGCTTAGCCCACGCCTACTAAATTAGCTGAGTACTTCACTGACTTTAGTTTACAGCTTAAGAGTGGAATTTTCACCAACACTTTTAAGACTCTTATGCACCCACTCATGCATGCTAACTTATAAGTATTTATCCTACATACAGCACACATACACAGTCGCACTGGCATAAGCTCATTAAGTTGTATTGACTTTGAAAAGCGCGCATAATCACGGCGTTAATGCAGCGCAGCTGCGTATTACGCCTAAAAGTAGATTTTACCATAAATTATTGCAGCATTTGTTAATAGTAAAATTACAATAAAAAATAGAAACATTTTATATACATAGTTACGGTAGTGGCAAATCAAGAATATTCAAGGACTCTTCACACACATAACTAGAGTACAACACATATAAGGACATACATATATACTGAGTATGGGTTCATTTATTTATGATATATTTTCGCTATATTTCCATACAAATTCATTAAAAATATATATATTTCGCGCGAAGAAATCTGTGGAGGAAGATTTTCGAGCGGTAAATTTTAAGTATTCACTCGATGATTTGGTAAAGTTGCGCGCGAAATTCTTGATTCCTGCATTAACAAGGCGGATTTTGTGGTTGTTGTTTGTATATTTTATTTACTTTGCCTATCTTTGAAGTACTCTTGTAAATTACTCATACACTAACACTTTACTGAAGTGAAAAACTGATGAAAGCATTCGACAATTTATAACTCATGAAGTATACTCTTTGTAAGTACCAGCTGGTGGAAATTTTTCACTCATTACTGATGCTACTAATTTAATAACTAAGGTAAGTGTTAATCCGTATGGAAGTAAAATTTATTGGATTTAGTATTTATACACTGAAAAAGGTATATTAAATTTTGTTTGGAAGTTTATAGATTCTAGAAGGAAACGTTGGAGACCCTTTGAAGTATACATATACCTGATAAGCGTCTGGTATATCTGGTATATAAATGATAAGCAACGATTTAGCTTTGCCCGTTTGTTTGTATCCCTTTTCCCCAAAGATTTCCCGAAGAAACTGTTCACAATCGGAACCGCCGATTTCGCACAACTATAGCATGTAGCTGCCTATGATCTGACCAATCAAACYCAAGTCCTTGTATGAAACTTGAAACTTTTTTATTTGACAAGRTATCTTCACGAAGCTGGGCATTTATTATTATCTAAAGCATGTCTACATTGTCCGAAGAAATTGTTCAGATCGGATTTCTATAGTATATAGCTGTCATATAAACTGATCGGTCAAAAGCCAGTCCTTGTATGGACAACTCTTTTATTTGTATTTGTATTATATTTGCCAAGGTATCTTCACGCAATTTGACATAAATTATTATTCAGGGAATCGTTACAATCTCCGAAAAAATTGCTTAGATCGGATTATATAGCTCCATTCCATTTACCCATAAAATTATTGTTTTTAGAAGGAAAACTCTTTTTTTTTGTCAAGGTATCTTCACGAAATTTAGCATGGGTTTTTACCCAAGGCCTTGCTACAATGTCGGAAGAAATTATTCTGATCGGATTGGTGTAGCCAGTAGCTACCGTATAACTAACCGATCAAAATTCAGATAAGTATCTTCCTAAATCCGTACGAGTTCATCTTACTTAATGCGCTCACTCTAGCTTGTCGGATTATTAAAAATTTAAAAGGAAAATGCAGAATA